GGGGGGGGGANGGGAGGGGGGAGAGGGTGCGAGCTGCACACTTGCATGTACATCACAACAAGGGTTACACCACAATCCCCCATATCAACGAATGAATGACTCTCCATCCACTCCAGCAAAGTGGAATGTCCCTCCAGCTCCATTTTAACATCAGGCTCAGGCAATCATATCCTGATTGGTTTTGTGATTCAAATGTCCGCAACCGACAGCTGAAGACGGGTTGCGGTCGTACAGCAGCCAAGGTGACAGGTGTACGACATCCCCCAGTCGTACCCGCAATCGGTTCGCGCTGCAGGCCTCCAGCAGCTCAGCGCCAACGGACCGTAGCCGGGCTTCGAAGCGGCGCGCCGCGCCGCTGGCGGCCATCAGCCCGCTGTTACTGTCGCCGTACGTAATACCTCCTCCGCCGCCGCCACACGTCGTCGCCGCCGCCGCAGCCACTCCGAGCGCGTAGACGGAGTTGCAGAGGTCTCTTCCAGAACACGGCAGTGGCGGCAGCCATCCAGTAGCAGCAACGCCGACAGCGTTAGACCCGGGCGGCGGCGGCGGCGGCGGTGTAGCCGCCGCCAGCAGCGGCGCCGCCAGCGCCTCCCACCACGCCGCCCGCAAGGTAAGGCCCAGCTTCGCCGCCGCCCACATGGAGTTGCTCGCGGCACGCGGCTGGGAAAGGACCTCGGATCCCGCCGCCAAGCGAACTCCGATGGCCATGGCGACCTCCCACCCGAATGCGGCCATGTCCACCGCCCCCACGGCGGCGGCGGCGGCGGCTCCGCCGCCGCGGCGGCGGCGGCCGCCAGAGGCCGGCAGCTCCGCTGCCGCCAGCTGCGCCAGATGTGTAAGTACGGCTACGAGATGTAAATCGTTGAGCACGCCGCCGCCGCCGCCACTGCCGGCGTCACCCGCCGCCGCAGAGCAAACCATAGGGCCCTCCCCTGCACCCCTGCTTCCCGTGGTCACCGTCGTACTGCCGTACGATGCGCTGCTGCTTGTGGACAGGTCCGCGGGTGCGATGCGGTCCTGCGCGATGCGGTACAGCCGGTACAGCTCTCCTACACTACCGCAGCCCTTGATGGCCCGCATCACCTTAGCCGGGTGACTCAGAAACAGAAACTCGGCGCTACCTCCTCCTCCTCCGCCTCCTCCACCGCCATCACTGCCGCTGCCTTCCCAAGGTCCGACACCTTGTACGGCGCGACAGCGATTAGCCGCCGCAGCACCTTCGGCGACCCTCGCCAACGCCACCGCCGCCTCGGCGCCCAGCGCAGGCCGCTTACGTGGCCTGCCGTACATGTCAGCCCGGGAACCTTGACCTAACTCGCCTGCCGTCGTTGCCCACGGAGGGGGAGGGGGAGGGGGGTGAGGGGGAGGAGGGGGAGGGGTCCTCCTCCTCTTCCCCCTCCTCTGCAAATCCTCGTCAGCCACACTTGTCCGCGTGCCGTGTAGCGCGCCTGGCGTGTCGCTACTGCTCCCCGGCATCAAAGACCCGGCCCCCCTCAAGCCATAAACTTCCGCATGATGAAACCCCGGTGCTGACCCAGATCCAAAATCCAATCCGGTTCCGAATTCCGTACGGCTGAAGCCCGATCCGGATCTGACGGGCCCTATCCCCGAGTCACCGGTTCCAACTTCCTGCGGCCTCCCCCCGGGGGGAGTCAGCGCCTTGCCGCCAGCTGACGGCGATGTCGGCGGCCACAACGACGAGGACGACGGCGACGACGGCGGCGCGCCTGCCAACCTGATGGCCGCCGCGGGCCGCCAAGAAGAATCTGGGGACTCATCGGGAGACGTGGACGCGGCAAACGGGGCTGGGCCGGCGGCGGCGGCGGCGGCGGCAGCCGATGCCAGGGACCGCCCCCCTCTGCTACTGCCGCCACCGCCGCGGCCAATACAGTGCGTGTTTCTACACCCGCCGCCGGTGGTGCTACTGCTACTGCTGGTGTTGGTGTTGGTGCTAAGATTGATGGTGGTAGTTGGGGTGCAAATGGCTGAGCTACTGCTAATGGTACTGCTGGGCCGTCGCCTCCGGACGGAAGTTGCAGGCAGGGGTACTGCTGCTGCTGCGGCGGCGGCGGCTGAGGTCGAGGCGGAGGTCCTAGCGGAGGTTGCACAGCTGCGGAGGTAGCTGCGACGGCAGCCACTGGAAGAACGGAGACTGTCTGTATGGGATTTCAACCCGCGCCTGTGATGAAACAAAGAACCGCCGATAGGTCGGGAAGGTGGTAGCCGCCAGAGCCCAGGAAAACCAACACTCCTGCCGTCGTCGCGTTCAATATTGTGAGTTAGGTTGGAGAGAGTCGCATTTGGGGAGATGCCGTGATCAGCGCATGCGGGGCCTGGACATAATTGCGCCTGATGCTGGTGGCTGTTGAGCGAGGGGATGTGGCGCAGTGATGCCGCTGCAACATCTACCCCTCGTGCACATGGCCACGAGGCAGGCACCAGCGCATGAGATGATGAGACTTGTGCTGCGTGTGCCTTGCATAGGAGGGACTGCGGCAGGGAGCGAACTTGAGCCTGGGGTTGAGGCCATGGCAGGACCAGCCCGCCGGCATGCTGGGCAACGGCGCTCGGAGGCCGCCTGCAGCCGGGATCCATATACGGCTTCAAGGAGAGAGGTTATGAAATCATCTTGGTACGGGATTTCACGCCCCGACTCTGTGCACAATCGCAGCCTCCAAGCACGGAACAGCCTAAAGGCGTCAAAAGAGAAAATGGATTCAGCGGAACGAAACAGAGAAATCGCAGATCCTTGAAGGAATTAGCCATCTCTGGGAGCCTGTAACGCTATGTTTGCACGCGATGGCAGCGGTCGTGGGCGCATACAGTGCCAAATGTAGGATGAATATATAATTAGCCAAAACGATTTCATGTAGATGTAGAATTCATGAAATCCTATTGTAAAGCTCGTAAATACGAGCCTCTTGTGCTAAGATATAGGCCACGCAGCTGTTGATGGGCATAACCTTTTTACTTTTCCTTTAGAGAGTCATACATACATTTGTATGACCGACTGAAGATACTTGCACATATGTTCACAGCCACATTTCCCTGTCAATCGGACGGCGAGAGTGCTCAAACCTTACGGTACATTTGGGGCTTCCATCCCTATTCAACGGCATAGAACAGCTTAAGGGCTCCAGAGGGCCCTGAACCAAACTGCTGGCTCAGATGACGCCTATATACCTTCCTCACGGGTTATTGGAACGCATTGGAGAAGTACGGGTCTTGGATGAAAGTAAGTCAATAGCACATTCCGAGTCCGACCTTGTCTCCAAAACGCCTGCCCATCACATCATCTCCCTACCATGTGTAGCCCTGGTCACCTCCGATGCAAAGCTCACGCCACTTGGGGTCTGCGCCTATTGGGGTAAGTCCCACCATCGCAGATTTGACTCGGGTAGACTTGGAGTCTACAAGTAAAACACGCCCATCACATCCCTCCCTCGAGCGCACGTGACTACGGGGCTACTGTCGCTCCTGCTGTTGTCCTCCCCTCTCCTCTCCTCGGGGGAAGAGAAAGAGAGGGGGGATTTCCTAAAGCGCTGAACACAAAATTTAGTTAATGGAAGACCGGGGTTGCGGTATTCCCCCCGCCTGGCCACTTTTGCCTTCTGCCCCCTAGCCATGCTGTTGTGTGGTCCGATACCTAGGGTTTCAGGATCTCTTATTCAGTTCCTAAAAACACCACCAGCAGCAGCAACACCATTATCATCAAGAACAACAACACCAGCACAGCACACAGCATGTCTTGCGAGGGCCCCGCACTGACACCCCGGCCCACCTACCCCTCAGTACGGCACAACTATCCCCTCGTTTCCCACTTTGGGGTTGAGTAATTTGGATGTACTTGTCTGTTGTTCCGTATACTTTTGCCGCGCCCTTTGCGCACTCCCCCTACCACCTTGCCCACCGCCCGCAACCCCAAAACCCTCTCGACACGCCATCCTCATTCCCCGTCTCCCCTTCCCCCGCCCCACCCTCCCCCTTCTTCCCCTCCCCCACCTGCCTGTGCTCCACACCCCGCACTCATGCTGTCATTACCAAAGATGCATCAACTTAACCACCCAAACCGCATCAACGTTTTAACGGCATTCCCTCTTCACATTTTTTCTCTCCCCCCATTTTCTTCACCCCCCCAAAACACACATACATACACATGCATGCACTCAGCCCTGGTAAGCCTGGCGGCATTCACACTCATGTACAAGCTGTCCCGCTACTACACGCCATTGATATTTAAGGTACGGATGCCGTACAGCTTCTGTGCGACCGGCTCAGAGAAAACCTAATTTCTGCAGGTTGATTATTATCGCCGCTGGACTCTGTCCTCCTCAGCAAATCACATTACATCACATGATGACGTGGTCATTGTCGCACTACCTCACGTAATGTCGTGTCGTTCATGACGTGGGGAGGGTCATTCCACACGGAAAAACACAGCACATGTCCCCCAACAGCATCGTGACCCCTACCAGATGTGTATCTCTGTGCGTGTATATGTATGTGTGTGTATGTATGTATGTATGTATGTATGTATGTATGTATGTATGTATATTCTTTTCCTGATCTCCCCGCCTCCCGCCCCTCTTCCGGCAGCCCTCGTGTACCGCACGTGGGGATTACTCGTACACACACGAACACTCCCCCCCGTACTCACTCACTCAGGCCTATCTTTGGCCATCCCCCTCCCCCCCTCCCCCCTCCCCCCCTTCCCCCGGCGGCGTTTATTTCCTTTTTTCCTTGCATATGTTCCCCCCTCCCCCACCACCTTATCTCCCCCCTCCCCCACCACCTTATCCCCCTCCTTCCCCCCTCCAGGGTTATGGCCAAATGACAAAGTACGACCAGCGTGACTGGGACACACGGTGAGGCGGTTGGGTGGTTGCAATGGCGGTTGCCAGCCAGGTAGCCTGCCTACGTGTCAGCCTCTCCATTGCGTGTCTGCCGTACCGATGAACCTTGCTCCCCTTCCCCCCTCCCCTTCTTTCTTAAATCCTCCCCTTCTCTCCCCCCTCTTTCCCCCCTCTCCCTCCTCCCCCGGCTCCCTAACTTATGGGGGCACAGTCTCGGCAACATCCTATACCCCATCTACATTGTGTATTGGGCCGCACGCCTCATCATGGCGGAGGGCCTCTTTTGGGAGGTCAGTGGCCGGGGGGCCAGGGAGGGAGGGAGGGAGGAGGGCGCTGGTGTGTGTGTGTGCGTGTATACATTACGAAGGGGGTGAGGGAGGGTGAGGAGGGTGAGGATGAGAGTGGTGGTAGTGAGCTGGCTGGCTGGCTGGCTGCGGGGTATAGTGGTAAGTGGTGGTGGTAGTCGTAGTACGATGGGGTGGATGGCAGGGTTTGGGGGTGCTACTGCCAGTAGGGCGGGGGGTGGGGTTGCCACGGTACCATTTATGTAGCTAGAAACTACCTACCAACCACCTCCCCTTCCTTACCTCCTCCTCCGCTCCGCTCCCACATCTGCATCACCCCTCCCCCCCCCAACACCCGGGGTTGTACACCCCCGGCTCTCCCGCCCCCTCCCCCCCCCCCTGCCCCGCCGCTTCCACCCGCATCCGTCCCCCTCCCCCTCTCCGCCCCCTCCGCCATCTTTCCTTTCTTCCTACCACCACCTGCACCCGCGGATTTCCTCCCTTTCCTTGCGCTACCCACTGACGTGGTGACTGTGTGATGTGGTGCATGGGCAATCCCCTGGGCCCCCCCCCGCGCCCCCGCGCCCCCCGCCCCCCGTTCGTCTTCCCCCCCCCCCCCGCCTTCATTGTCCGCAGCCCGGCCCCGTGCCGCTGATGAAGCGCACCTCCCTGGACAGCTA